AAATTAACAGAGAATGTATTGTTTTGGGGGACGCGGTCAAAATCGCCATACATTCTCTGTAAATTGCACGGCTTCTCATTAATTGAATATTTGTCCAAATGATCTGTAACTTGGAACCTACACTAAAGTCGATAAAGTCTTTTTAGCGATATGGTTAGTTTTTCGATTGGCTCAATATGACAGAAATTACAATTCATTTTATAACATAAAAATGGCTAATACTTTCTTTTGAGTTTGCTAGATTTTCATATAAAAAATGGATTTTGATGAACTTAGAGCAACACGCGACGTGTTCAAAGCTGATGACAGAAAATTGACGGATCAGAAAAGCCCAAATTCTTTCTGACTTTTGCAATATTGAGTCGCCATGCAACGAATTCCGCTGTCAATATTGTTAAGAATACGACACTTTTAATTTTAGATACCTGAAGAGTTCTTATCAAACATCATTAAGCCTCTCTGAGCCTTGAACGTCCAGAAAAACGAGAACTGTGTTAAATGGCAGATCTGAACAGTGAGCATTTTAATCGATCTGTTTACATGGGACCAAGGTTCTTCACATGATAGGGCGGCATTGATCCTGTACAAACGAAAGTTTGATGACTTTTTTGATCAGAAGGTATATTTCTTCCATTGTCATATCCTTAGCGATTTGATGCTTGCCCGTTGTATTTTACCTCTTCGTTCCTTTCTTTCATTCAATCAAGGTTTCATATTTAGGAAGGTTTGATTGAATTTTGGAAATTACGAAGAGGAAAAATACAAAAGACTCTTAAGAAAAGACGAGCAAGAAACGTTAAAGATAGAAACATAGAAACAAAGCTGATATAATGCAAGACGGAATGTAGGGGAGGCCCGGAGAAGAAAAACTGTTAAACATCAGATAAAAAAGAAGACTTTGGGAGGAATTAAATATGAAATTGGAGAAATGGGATGGAACATTGAAATATAAAAAAAAAGAAGAGAAAGAATAAAAACAGAGATCTGGGCAGAAAGAGAAAAAAATGAGGTGACTATAACATGAAARAAGAAAAACTTTTTAAGCAGGGTTGGGGAATATACAGGAATSTATATAGATTAAACTACGTACCAAGTCTGATTTTTTATATCCCACAAGTAAAGTACAGGATCAACATCTTCCTTATTCAGATCATTGTTGACAATTCGCCTATTTGCATTAAYTAAATTATCTACGTCATAAAACATGGTGACCTTGATTGGCTTAGAAAACTTGTAGCCTTCCATTAGGGTGTTGTTCTGAGGGTCATGAGCTTTGATTTGGAAGCTGTAGTTGCCAAGCATAAATTGCTGTAAAAGTACACAAGAAAACTGGAATGATCGGACTTTGGAGAAATACATTYTACCTTTTACTCGAGCTTAGCCACTTATAACCTTTCAAAGTTACTCTAGTCKGTGAGCTATTTCAAAAACGTGTAATTTTAATTAATAAACAGTCATACCTTGGGTTTGGTTGTTTCTGGATTCGCAACAGGACCATCATCTGAATTGTTCGACTTCAAGGTCATTTCATCAAGACTGTAACAAGTGAGCTTTGCTTTATCTTCCACGGCTCCTTGAGGGACATCTAAAGTGCCATAGGTTTGTCCAACACCCCCGTCCTTCCTTGTTCCGTTAGGATTCATATTAACTGAGTCAAAGAAGAAAGATGCAGACGCATTTTGATCGAAAACATACTCCGATTTTCCAACAAGTACACCGTTGGAGGATAGATCTTCTGACATGAGACCAGCTTTATTTGTGGCTCTGGCCGTGGCATAATACTTSGTGTTCTTTTTCAAGGAGTTGTCTTCGAACTGAGCAAACCAGATAGTTGTGTTTCCTATTTCTTCAAATTCCTTAGTGTCGATCATTCCTGGAGAAGTGCCCCAGGCTACTTCGTATGACGCAACGCCGCTGTCCGGATCACTGGCTTTGAAATACGCAAATATGATATCGACGAAGACCTATAAGTGAAATGGTGTTTGCATTTTCATGAGTGGACATTGTTTTCTCTTCATTTTGATATCAAAACGTCCTGGTCTTCGCCCCGTGTAAGAGAATCCGGAATCCGGAATCCACTAAAAAAACAGCTTTGGAATCCGGAATCCCTATCCTGGAATCCGGAATCTAAATATTTGGAATCCATAATCTGGAATCCAGCAAAAAAATTGATATCTAAAAGACACATAGGACATCGTCCCGCTGACGCCCCTGCGCAGGCTACTGACACGCTGAATATAAAATTTTCAGGACAAAAAACCCCTGAAAATCAGGCCATTTATTGTACAGAATCCAAAACAAAAATTCTTTGGAATCCGGAATCCCAAGGCTTGAAATCCGGAATCCAATGTTTCGGAATCCGGAATCCAGCGCTTGGAATCCGGAATCCTCTAGTTCTCTGGATTCTCTTACATGGGGCGATGGTCTAAAATAGTTAACCGATCAGCATTTGAACAAAAAAAGTGTCTTTCAGGATGGTTTTGAAAATCTACTACTTTCCTAGGAATGGATATGCAAGACATGATCACAATGTTCAGCAAATCACAATCCACGTTATACAAATACAAATAGCTTATAGCAAAAATTACAAGTTAAACATACYTGATAATCTATGTCAGGACCAAGAACACCATCTCGTACGTACAGCATTTCAGGTGGKGTCGTATCTATGGTAACACCATTGCTATATCCAGCYGAACACCGTCGAGCACCATTACACGCTACGACCGTCACGTAATACGTGTCACCTTGCTTGAAGTCGAAATCGAATTTACTGGCATTTTGTCTTAACCCATTACTTTCACATCGACGGATATCATCCTTCATTGGTTTTGAACCGACGCAAAAGAAATACTCTGCGATGTCGCTCTCATTATCAGCAAAGTCGACCCAGCGCGCGTGGACTTCACTTGTTATGTTTGTGTAGTCTATATCTGTATCYTGAAATTTGCGGGTGGAGCATTGGCTGTCCTCACCAAAGGTTTCGTTTTTGGAACAATTTGTTTTAGAATCGCTTCCAAGTCCATCGTACACGGTGCCTACAGTAGGTGATGTTGTATCTATGATGAACGGCTTTGATTTTGATGTTGTCGACATCTTTGCGCGGGTGATTTCAATAACGTGGACGGTATATTCGTTGAAGGCGCCTTCTTCGAAGAAAGTATGCTCAGCTTGTTGAACCTTCATGGCGTTTGTTTCATTATCAAACTTCTTAACAAGAGGACATTGGGAAGTATTGCAAATCTTAGTTACAAAATGAATGGGATCATCGTCAAGTGCCAATGCACATTTACGACCTGCGCAAATTTCACAAATACTCGTTATAGCTCCATGAGACTTCCTACCTGGTTCACAGGGCGCGCATTGAAATGTATCTTGCACTTTAATATTTGAATTCCTAATTCTTTTATAGTTTCTCGGGCAATGAACCATGCTATAAAGGCGTCCGGTACCGTCTTCTTCACTTCCACCTGACCACGTCATCATTCCGGGTGCACCAAAGAGAATTGTTGATCCTTCGGCGGAAACACTCGCACGTGGTGTACCGTCATCTACACGAGGAACGTCTTCATAAGCTATGATTCTTCCAAGTCCAATACATTTACCTTTCTCGTGGAAAGGATGGTACGCATAGCTTCCGTCGAATCCTGTAAGTATCACTCCATCACGACCTTTCATTGTCTGCATCCCAAGCGCGACTACCGTCCCACCATCCCTTGCCATCAAGTCAAATTTACCACTAAGGCGGACATCTGCTGGAACATCGTAAGAACAAACAGTTTTCGTTGTATTCAAAGAAGTGTTTATTTGAATCACTACAACTTTTCCGTTTGGCTTCTTTGAAACAGCAACCAAAGCGTTACCTTTGGTCAAGCGTAGTGAAGGCTTAACTACATAAAAGTTCTTCAAATCAATTTTCCGTATTATTGAGTAGTCGTAGGCTGAATATATAATCACATTATCATTTCCCGCCRAAACTGCAAGGATTTYACCATTTAAAGCAAGTGAGTTACCAAAAACAAGGTCTCTCTCTGATCTTCGCAGTACTTTTAAAAGTTTCCAGATTCCATTCTTACCCTTGAAGAYTAAAACTACTGSTGTATTCAAAGATGCACTTTTTCCACTTGTGACCAACGTGGTGTTCTYTATTGCAACTGCTTCAGCTGTTATGCCTGGCCACCTAGATGCTGAYAATGATGCTTCTAAATCTAWGTTTGCCTCGCCGTTTCCGTTAAACCTAAGCCTCAGGATGCTTATATGAGAATTAGACGCTACTGCCAAGTGGTTTTCGGAGTATGACAAACTAGAAATCGTTCGTTGGTCACCAACAGAAAAGAYCTTGGTCTTATGAAGTCGATTTTTCTTAGAGAAAATGAAAAGTGCATGAGATGAACTTACAGCAACAAGTTCATAAGGCAATTGTAAAACRCAGGATCCAAACATCTTTCTACTTGAAGTTGGTTTGTAATGGAAGTCTGACTCAATAACAAGCCAATGAGGAKTTTGATTAGTACAACATGGCCCRGAAGGGATTGCAAACCCTGGGARCTTCTTAGTTTCTAGGCTTTGCTCGGTCGTGTTAGTCACATTCGAGTTTGACGTAACTCTGTTCACCACAAGTTTAAAAATCTCAGTTGGACTGAACTCACTGTCCAATACTCTATTCAAGTTGGCAAGAGATGCGTCAGTACCATTTGGTTTATCAMTTACGACGATAGAGATGTCATCTGGSGAAGATACATAATTTACGTCAGGATCAAGTTCAGTCAAATTGAACAACGGCAAATGCATATCCGGTARCCATCTTTTTCTCTCATCCTCMTCTGCGCTGTTTAAAAGGTCTACMTTACGAGTCAACGGTGGACTCGCCTCGATGCGKAGTCCGTCACTGCTTTTGTCGGTATATATATCTCCACCATTAAACAACCGTATAACAACATGATACTCTTCCCATGGTGCAATAGGAATAGTTTCTATWGTAACRTTTYGTTGACCGGGATGGAGAGCCATAAAGGGTTGCGCTATTGGTTCTCCTTTCCACGACTTCTCYRGTTCAAGTCTMGGCAACGTTGTATGTTTTGATCTTCGSGTGACAGCTACCTCAAGGCGTGAGATATCATCAAGGAATTTCCCGATAGTGCTCCATTGAAAGGATAGCGTTTTAATATTTGATGTCCAGTCAATATCGACWTCTGAARAGCTGTTATATTCCAAATCAGACACCATGTTTACCATAGGAGCAACTGTAATGACAAKACATTGCTTTGACATTASAACTGATTTTATCCCAGCTTTGTTGAACACATGCACAGYTGCATAGAGAYGGCTTCCGGATGGTAATCTCTTCACAATTTCTCGRCCAATCASTTTGAGTCCYACAGATTTTCTGTCTGTGACGTCACATTTTCCAGGTGCTGTCCCAACACACCATTCATATCTATCCACGTAACTTTCAGAATCTTCAAACTCRTCCCAGTTAACGCTAACAAGCTCTTCCGTACAAAAGAAATGCACATGGGAGCCGGGAGATTGATCAACAAGTTTAGGCGGAGTAGTATCGATTAGGATGTCCTTTGTTCTCGTAGACRCAGTCATCCCAACRCCATTGGTAGCTCTAATATTGACAAAGTAGGATTGACCATGCTGGAGATTTAGTCCTGTGAGCTCATAGTCGGTTACCTCCCCTACACTTTGATAAGGCGTGCATTCGGCAGATGATGTTGACGATTGAACACACAATTCATATTGCATAACTCCACTTTCATCATCAATAAATGGAAACCACCTATGTACAATAAAAGCTGATTGTCAAATCTTAACGAACTTATTCACAGGATCATGTGATCTTTGAACTTTGAACTTTGAATTATATAGCTCCTAGAAAGTGGCCTGCTATCTACCGGGTTACTACTGAACATTTCTAACAGATAAACAACTCACCGAACATGAAGCTTTTTATCGTGTGCTTCGTACTGCGYTTTTCGTACGACACTGGGTCCAATCCAAGCAACCTTTGCGACAGGGGGTGTAAAGTCAACTGCAAAACCATTCGATGACACTTCTRTCTTTAAACCCGCTTGGTTGGTGGCCTTCACTTTGGCAAGATACAATSTTCCACTATGTAAATCTAGTCCTAAAGGGCAACAGTATAATATTATACAACATGTTATTCTCGCAGCTGTTTTGAAATATTCATTATTTTTTGTTGCAATTCTTTAGGATGCATAGAAATCTAAAATTGGCGACTTCTAAGGAATTATAACTCATATCTTGCAATTTAATCAAATTGAATACGGGTTTTATGTAAATGGCTATCTACTTGAGATGTATTGTTGTGTATGAAAACCTAACTGCTTTACAAAAAAACAGAGYGCAAATACGTATGCTCAATACTGGTTTACTTGCCACTCCAAATCATTACTATAACACTTCACTTCAAGACTGCTGTCACTTAAGTTGATGTTTTTACCTGTAATCTTAACACTTGTGACATTGTTGACGTTTGTATAGTTTTGGGGGCATTCTTTAATGTTTATAGCTTCGCAAATCGCTACTTCATAGTTCTTGATGCCACTTTGGTCATCCCTGAAGTTCGACCACGTCACGTAGACGTCATCCTCCCCAAAAAGATAGTCGATATCKTTAGATGAATTYCCAYCATTCACCTGTCCAGGTATGGRTGGAGTGTTGTCAATGGTGACACCGTCTGATGATAATGTCTTTTTTATACCGGCGCCATTTGTAGCCTGCACAGTAACGTAAAGCCGKTGACCATTTTTTTGTGGCTGTGTGAGTATCTTACGTATTTTRTGTAGCCATGGCGACAAGTTTTGCCGCGAGAGAATATCGCAATTACCAGGAGTGGTACCYACACAGTATGTTAATTYTAGGATGCCACTCTCTGGATCTTCGAATGGCTTCCAGTTAGCACTGATTTCRTAGTCAATTAGCTGGAATTCGATGTCTGATCCCTCTTCAATGCCGTCATAGACGACATCGCCACCAGAAATGGGAACTATATAGTAATTGGAATATGAATTATTTTAKTACATTGCTCTTGTTGCCGACATCTTAAATTTASGCGCAAAATTGTTTTGTCAGACTTGCCAAAGMTGTAAGAATGWGATAAAAGACATGACTTTTAGYGCATAATCACAAGCAGAAGCTAGGMAATAAGCACAAGGCAATKGAAATAACTGCACTTCRKTGTTTTATTGTCGGTGAGAGCAAAAGTATTYTGAAAAGCTTGGAAACAYCCAAGTAAGAAYTGAATATCAACCATTCCAAATTCAATATTCACGATCAAGATTTTRAAAACGTTTRACAAAGCATCTTTTCTCACCTGTTTTATCGATGATTATTCCTTGCGAAAATTCCACGATACTCTTCAGACCGGCATCGTTCTCAGCAACAACTGAAACGTAATATATACTTTCGGATGTAAGGTCTGTGCCGTCAAATGTATACTCCGTACTTAGTCCCACATCTTTCCAGCCTTCAACTTCACAAGAGCCTGAATGATTCCCAAGACAGACGTGATATTTCACTATCGCAGTTTCCTTATCCCAGAACCCATTCCAACTTGCGCTAATAGCTGAACTTGCAAAGTTATCTGTGGYGCTTTCCACGTCACTAGACGTGTTTCCAACTTTGACCTKTCCACCTACTGGTGGAGTGAAATCAAGTGTAAATCCATCAGAGTCTGCACTGGTACTTAGTCCTACAGCATTAGTCACGCTGATAGTAGTGATATATTTCACACCAGGTATAAAATCCAAGTTAGACATACAAATAAGGGAGCRGTTTCCAACGTCAACAGAAMTGGCCAGGCAGTTCTTTCGGTTATTTTCTGTACAAACTGAAATTTCACTCTTGAGTATCCCGCTCTCCTGGTCAGCKGCGTCCCATGATGCACAGAACTTTGTTTTCGATGTAAGGAAATCAATGTCAGCCAAACTGCCATTTGTCTCTAAATCATTGACCTAATTCATAACAAGTTAATTATATTAGTGTCAATATCATTTTACAGATCAGCATTATTTACATATACACCTACTTGCGAAAACGTTGTCATAAAAAATAGGATATTTGTATTTTAGTAAAAAGGAATAAATTAAAAACACAAAAGAAGATCACTGAGGCTGAACGCTTTCTTTTGCCTTGTTTTAATTTATTCCTTTTTACTAAATTCGAATGTTCTATTTTCTATGACAACATTTCTGCAAGTAGGTGTAAACATTTTTTGCAAATTTGGTGTATGACAATGTGTATTGTAATTATTTTGCCTATATTACCTTCTTAACCTCGGGAGGGCTGTTGTCAATCTTCACTCCATCAGAATACAAGGTGTTCATCCCACCAGCGCCATTCACTGCTGTTACTTTTACAAAGACTGATACTCCAGAAACAACTGAWGGGTTGATCTGGATCTGAACTTTTGTTCTACCATCAGTGATTTCTCTTTCTTGAACAACGTCGCACGACCCTGGAATAGTTCCTACGCACCATACATATTTGGAAATTCCAGTTTCCTCATCAGTAAACTGATCCCAGTTGGCAGAAATAAATGTGCCGCTTGCTTGAAAGTCAATATCTTCMGAGTCACTACCATCTCGTACTGACCCTCCCACGGGCAATGTTTTGTCTATCTTGAYGCCGTWCGATGATGCTGACGCTTGATATCCTGCGTCGTTCGTTGMGCGAATAGTTGTGTAATATGTCTGCTTGTGAGCTAAGYTCAGTCCAGTAACTTCACCTACAARGGTATCACCAATGCTTTGAAATGGATGCACATCACAGAATGATTGTCTACTTCCAATACACATCTCGTACTTAATTATCCTTGAATTTGTAKCTTTGAATGGATCCCAGTTTGCTGAAATGGTCTTGGATGAGCTTTGTACACTTTGATCACTAGATGGGTCATTGCCGTCAAAAACGTCACCGGGGGTTGGTAACGAGTTGTCAGTCACAAAAATGTTGGAAATAGCGGAGCTATGAAGTCCAATTTTGTTGWATGCTTTGACTCTCAGTRCATATGAAATGCCTGGCTTTAGGTCTAAGTTATCGTTCTTTATTTTCGTCGATAGTCCTGTATCAATAAAAGGTGTCAAGCATTCTTCTAGGTTGACTGCTTGACACACTGCCCACTCATAATGATCCAATCCACTTTCAGGGTCATTAAAGTCACTCCAATTTGCTTCAAAACCTTCATCCTCTTGTAGATATTTCGTTSCTGCTACGTTTCCTACAGTCACCGCTTGGACAGTTGGYGGCGACCAGTCTAGAAGAAGTCCATCAGACTCCTTTATGGTTCTTAAGCCAGCACCATTTTCAGCTTTTAAAGAAACGTATATTGTTGTTCCTGAAGAWAGAGGGKTTTCAAAATTTCCCAATAATGACGAAGCTTCAGGTTCTAACACTGTCCATTCCTTAACATCACACACRCTTCTATTTTTCCCCACACAATAWAGTAAACTAGCAATACCACTTTCATCATCAGATACTTGGCCCCATTCAAGTTKAAAKTGTTTTCCATTACTTTGAAAAAATACGCCATTCACCATTTTTAAAGTTGTATCTTCACTTGGCTGGACAAAAGAGRTGATGCCGATGATGGGTGGACTGGAGTCCAYTGTAACTCCATCAGATGACGTCAGCACCTTCAGTCCAGCAGAGTTTTYGGCTTCCACTGTGGTAAAGTAACGAGTTCCTTGTTGCAGGTTTAGGTGTGCTGTTGCAGATGTCTCTAGACCAGTTGATGTCATGGCAATTATGTCACACGAACCTAAAAAAACAGTTTTCTTCTTAACAGTAATGTTAAACAATTATTTATTATCCACCCACACTAATTTGACATGTTGAGAAATGATTTCTTCTTAGCTCTTATTTGGTCTTTCGTTTTTATGTTGCTTGGATTGATTATTCTTCAATAAGTTATTTTTTTTCATATTCTTGCATTTAATGCCCACAGCTATCAATGCATTAACATGTCATTTGTTCATACCCATTCACCTTGTTTAAAGCCAAACGCTTTAAATTGAATAAGTATTTATCATTTCTMTTATAAATTGGCTTAAAAATCATATCATATTATATTACCTTGCCTAGATCCAATGCACCATCTATGTTCCACTATTCTGCTTTCCTGATCTTCGAAAYYAAACCAATGGGCAGACAAAGCTTGAGAGCTTGTTTGATAATCGGAATCTAAACGGAGGCCATCAATTTGATATGTGCTATTACCATCGTAGACAACACCAGACTCTGGTGGTGTCAAGTCGACTACAACTTGCTGTGAAGACAAAGTTGATCTTAAACCAAGCATGTTGTAACCAGTAACTGYTACGAMGAAKGAGAGACCATGTGACATGGTGAAGTTCAGGTCATCAAGATCAACAGATCTCTGCAGGCTGYTAAGTCTTGTAAACTGCAMTAGGTCGTCWTGGTTTGGATACGTTCCGACACCGACTGTAAAAWAGCTTATGCCGCTTTCTTKATCRTCCATTTCCCACGTGATAGTTGGTGGAGAGAGAGAGCTTATGAATAGCGTSTCTTTRCCAGTAGTTGGTGATAYTTGGATTACATTTCCATATGGGATACTTCGATCAACTAAAACACCATCTGATGTCGAGTAAACACTTTCTCCTCTGCTATTRAAGGCYCTTACTGTTGCGTAATAAGTTCTCCCMTGAGAAAGTGTGATGTTATAAAAKCGGTGAGCATATTTGCGAAGATGGTTAACTTTCATAAAAGACCATTTACACAAGAAGTTTGAAGAGGGTACTGGCTGATGGTCATCAATGCACCATTCGTAATCAGACACACCAAACACAGGATCTTCAAATCCATCCCAATGTGCCCATATGGCTCTATCATCAAGYTGAAAGTCCAGATCTTTYTTAAAATTCATGGGTCCGTCATTAACAATGCCTGCAGAAAACTTGCCAAGTACGACTWTCATAGCATTTGAACAGTTAGTCCTTTGCAGTCCAGCTCCATTCGTTGCTCTGATACACACAAARTACGTTGTATTYCCAACTAGAGTAAAATTATAGATTTGTACACCACCAATTGACTGRTTGACTGGAATGTCCGTGAAATAACTATCATCAAGGTTTYGTACAGTTTCCAAGMCGSTTCCAACTGCCCAACCGTATTCTGCTATYCCACTTTCCTCRTCTAGGAAGCCTGTCCACGACACACTCAAAGAAGATCCAGGAACTTTATCTTTATTTCTATCGTAGTTTAGAGGTAAAGCATACTGTGCTATAACGATTCCAGCTTTTGGTGGAGATCTATCAATTACGATTCCATTTGACACTGCCTTACTTGAGAGVCCAGCATTGTTAGTCGGAAACAAGAAAAAGWAATAAGATTTTCCTTGTTGAACTTGAACTTGAGATTGACCTAACCTCAAAGCAGAGGTTGCTTTGTCAATTTTCTGTTSATTAACAATGTTAGGATCTYCAGATCTTGTTCCCAGACCCCAAGTTAAAGAGGCTATCCCACTTTGCTCRTCTTTTAGCTTCCAGCTAGCATCRATGGTATTACTWRYAGGATTGAATTTCAGCTTTAAATTATTCGCAACTGGWGGTGTACTATCTACGAGGACCCCATTTGTCCAGAAAGTAGACTTTAGATCAACTTTATTTGTAAGTTCTATACCAACTCGATACTTCTTTCCTTCTTCGTATTTAGGAAGCCATTTTCCGTTTCCAGTCACCAAAGTTGTCCCTGTTGCATTCAGCTTTTCTTTCTTGGAATGGAAYGGCAATACGAAATGTTGATTGCTCATATCTTGTACTGCAAAGCGAACCTGGGTGATTACAGATTCATTTTCAGCGCATTCCCATGAAATAAGAAGAGTACTTGTAATTCCGATGAAACGTTGAATYTCTTTGTTACCRTGCCATACATTTTTACAAGTTGGCGCAGTATTATCAATAATGAATCCATCTGAAAGTAGTGATGATTKCATCCATACAACGTTATAMGCAGTGACATTAGTRTAATATCTTTTACCAAATTCAAGCGGAAGCTTAAAAGAAATTGATGCTGATTTGACATTGCCCGTAAATTCGTATGGTCCTTGCTGGAAAGACTGGTYAGAGTTAACTAYAAAGATTTGATAWYTTGAGATCCCACTCTCGATGTCAATGAATTTCCACTGAACTGTCATCTCACTTGTACAATTTTGATAGTCACCGTCAAAAACATTTAGCCCTTGGGGAGGGGTATTGTCATAAACTACACCAACCGACGATGATATCGACTTGAGMCCTGCTTTGTTCTTGCAAATAACGGTAGCAAAATATCTTARTCCAAGCTGAAGGTTGGAATGCAAAGTATATTTTGTTTGATGAGCTGGTACATTTGTCAAATTCATAACGTCGTGCGATCCTGGCTGAAGTCCAAACGCTAYATCAACAGAGTTCAAGCCTGTTTCATTGTCAACACACTTCCAATAGATATCCAGTGATTGAAGTCCTGTGAATTTGTCAACTTTACCCTTTCCGGAGCCATGTGTCACGCGAATAACAAACACTGGGGGAGTTGCATCGACTTTAACGCCATTAGAAGAAACGGGAGTGCTTTTTATTCCAACACTGTTTAGTGCTATAACGGTAGCGTAATATCGCTCACCACTAGTTAGTTTAGAMACTCTCAAACGTGTGCTTGCAGCGTTCTGGACAAGCCCAACATTAGTAAATTCTTGTATATCGTCGYTGCCCGGTGACGTACCGAAAGCAAGCATATATCTGACAATCTCAGTTTCCACTTCTTTGAAGTTTCTCCAAGTTGCCCACAAAATAGAGCTATCTGTTTGCACATCAATATCCGCCTCAATACCATCGATTACTTTTCCAGGAACTGGAGRACTGGTGTCAATTATCACTCCATTCGATGAGAAGTAAGCAACATTCTGAGCATTGTCAACGACTTTAAGACAAGCAAAATATTTAGAGCCAGATTTCAGATTGAGGCCAAATAGAACATGGTTGTTGACGTYATTAGGGACAATTTCGTAAACTCTGACATCACAATCWTGTTTGCCCAATGTACTCTTTAACCCAAGGTAAACTGAATGTATACCAGAGAAATCACTCATTCCATACCAATGTGCTCGATATATTGATGAATAGCTTTGATATTTCACGTCTTCCATTCCCCASCCATCAAGTACAATGGCATGCTTTGGTGGTTCTGTGTCTGAGAAGAGTGCTTGTGAAGATCCACTCCCAACCAAACCAGCTCCATTTGAAGCAAGGACTGTAATAAAGTATTTTCTATTGTTTTCAAGTTTTGTAAAYCTTTCCGCAGTCCAGTTCATAGCAAGATTGTATGGTGGCCGTAAAACTTTGATATCTTTAGAAGCACTCACATCATCTGCTCCKGGATAGCTGCCCACGTAGACTTGAAAGCCGAAGACCCGAGACAAATCATCCTCCARCTCAAAATACGCTTGAAATCGGTACTCATGGTCTTTGGTATACTTGATTGTCGTACCTTGGTGTCCATGTTGAAKRTTGATGATCTTTACAGGGCTRCTGTCCACAATGAAAGTGTTGGATAAGCCATYTGCTGYCATCCCAGCTTTATCTTTTGCTCKWACTRCAACGGTATAAACGCYRTCTTCCAAATCAATCGATCTCCCRCTCATYTGAACTTTRCCGACTTCAGTAAAAGCATATAGAAATTCSTCACTRGAWAATGTGCCTACTGACAGCCCAAAACTAGTKATACCAGAGTGCACATCATAGAASKTATTTTTTGCACACTTCGAASGATYRATTATTYCWGTCGATCTATTCTTGTCTTCGGAGCACCAGTTCCATCGAGCCCAAACGGATTTAGTWATCCACTGGAARACAACAGGTGGTCCAGTATAGCCGGTAATCACTAAGCCAGTGTGVGGYGGTACAAAATCAACAACGGCRCCGTTACTACTTCCATTGATGCACATCTGYACTCCATTRCAACCGACCACTGTAACATAATACTTTCGACCAGCATCTAGTATCAGTCCCCTTAACGTAGCCCTTGTTGCCTTTCCAATTTTTATCAGTGGTTTGACGTCTGTAGCTCCAGGAGCACTACCCAGTCCTATACGAAACTCGGCCATACCACTTTCTGCATCGATAAAGGCTTGTTTCCAATGAGCACTAAAGCTAAATCGTTCACTGGTATAATTTACGTCTTTTCCTTGGAAGCCRTCTTTGATATACTGCAAAGCCACMGASGGAGGAGTTKTRTCTATTAGAATACCATCAGAAGTTACCGTTCGACGAARTCCGACCCCRTTGTAGGCCTTGATAGTAACATGGTATCGTATKTTTGGCTTGAYYTCAAGATTGACAAYCTTTGCAAAGCTGSYKTGCYCCAACTGSACTATGCTAGTGTTTTGCATGTTTTCAAACWGTTTGACATCATCGCCTCCCGGGTAAGTCCCAACAGCAATRAATTGCTTTGYRATGCCACTTTCTTGATCCATGCAGCTCCACTTTGCTTGTATACTTTTTAGTTGTCGCACAAAATCAACATCTAAGCTATCGTTRATGCTAACAACATCCAGCACAGACTTACAAGTTGGACTGGTGATGTCAGCAAAAAATCCATTGGATTCTTTTGTTGTCTGCAATCCTGCAGAATTTGTTCCGCGCAAAACAAGATTATATCTTTGCCCAAGCTGAAGATCAAGATTTTCCATAAGTGGAGTCCTTTGAGAAAGAAGTATATTAACAAATGGTGTTACATCGATGCGTTTAAGGTTGATGTATTTCACAACTTTCCACTCGTATTTGACCAATGGGCTTTCTCTATCAGTAAAAGGCTCGAATGTTGCGCGAACTCGTTTTGTCGAAGGCATAAAATCAACATCTGTTTCTCCTTCTCCGTCATAGAAACTTCCAGCGATTGGAGGGGTTTTGTCTATAGTTATTCCATCACTACACATTACTGTTCGTAAACCAGCAGAGTTGGTAGCAATGATTCTTGTATAGTATTTAAAACCATGTTTTAGTTTGAGTCCTGATGTTTGGATGGACTTCGTCTCCCCAACAGGAACCAAGCCATAAATGTCTAATTCTCTTTCATTAAAAGTGCATTTCGAAGAGCTGGAGATACCCCATTTGACGTCAACTATTTTATTTTTGTTCCATTGTTCTTCTGCATTGTTCCATTCAAAATTGAGACCCATGACATAATCGTCAGACTGGAAATCTTTATCTACACTGATCTGAGATCCATCGTACAAAAAGAGAATTTTTGGTCCAAGTCGTTTAGCTCGAAAGACCGGACAAAGAGACAAACTACTGTCAAGTCCCCCATCGTCTGTGGCTCTTACACTAGCGAATACATCTCTTCCATCCATTATAGGGAGATCTCTGACCACGACACTTAGTGCAATGCCAACGTTTGCCCCATAGTCATCACCAGACCCCGAAATAGATCCAATTTTAACCCAGTAACGATTTATATGTCTATCGTCTTTGAAACCATGCCACTGAACAAAGTACGCTTTGTCTCCTACTTGTCTAGCAGTGCAAGTACCAGCTACAGGTGGAGTTCTGTCGACATCTTTTTTGCATGTACTAAAAAGCTGGCGTTCGATTGTCCTCGCAGAAAACGACCACTCAGCAAGGGTGTTCTTACTGCACCATTTAATTACAGGAAAAATCCAAATGATTCCGCACCGAACCGTTATACAAAGTCTGAAACGATACCACAACCACACTCGAATCTTTAAAGGAGTCATCTGCATTTTGAGTTCGATGCATGCTTTGAGAGGCCATTTGTCTATCTTTACTGTTAACTCTGGGATGAGATCTGTCTTAAGCAGAGTCGCTTCGGTTGTTATTCCTGCCTCGACAATAAGGAGAGATATACTAACGCCAAAAGTAACTGTTATCCAAGCACCTGGAATAAGCCCCATTTTAAACGTCCTTTCTTTCACACATACTGTGCGATGATAGTCCACAGCCCAATGTCCTCCAGCACCGGCGTGTAATTTTATCGGGATACCGAAAATAGGAATGAATTGATCAATGTCAGGCATAAACTTGTGATGTGTTTTTATCAAATTGCCTCGGAATGGTCCTGTGCATGGCAATACTTCTCCAGAGCTTCTCCTTGTTCTTCTATAAACTTCTTCAAGCTCTTGGGAGTAGACATCGGACTCCAGGAGCTCGTCCTGTATACTTCGTTTGCGTAATGCACCACAGCGCAAATTACCGATAGGGAATAATTTTTGAGGTCCGATAATCCCATCTCCCATAACAGTTAACCTGAGGCAGTTCTCTGCAATTCTAAATGTCATCTTAAGAATAGGGAGTTTCATACGGAAATATCTGTCTTCAAAATCTCCTCCAATACTCTCGATCTTATCCTTTTCGCTGTACGTTCCACTTGAGAATACGATGACCAAGAGATCGTCTCTAGCCTTGTTGACTGATTCTAGACCAGATGGTGTGCGTACTGCCCTAGATAACGAATTCTTTCCCAGTTCATGTCCATCCGTAAGATCGTGGAATTCAAGCTTGCATTGATATCCCGCCCGAACCACACATCGCGAGACGACTGCATACTCTGTACCGAACTGCCTTACTATGGCCATACCCTGGGCATCTTTACCAATGACTAAAACCTTGTCTGGAGCTAGTCCCTCAGGTAGTAAATCCCCTGACGCTGTTAGGCGATAGCCATATCCTTTCCCTGCGTTGCCATCCGTAATCCATAGCATTTTCTTCTGCTCATCAAAAGACACAGACGTTCCAATGCCTTGAACAGAGTAAGATTTAGCAATTGGAATCCATGAGGGAGCAGCAGATCCCATACTTCCAGTAACTGATCCTTTACTAATACGATGGACTTTGTTAGACTCGCCATCGCCTATCCATATGGTATCTTTAGCAACAGTAATCCCACCAATTGCGACCGTAAAGGGAGACTGAGGACTTCCTAACTGGATGATTTTCTTGACAGAATCTCGTTCAAGATCTGTGACAACCAATAACGATGCTTTGCCCTTGTTCGATGATACTCCGTGCATACCCAATAGAATCTCCGAGTTAGAGAGTTTAGTGATGCCTTCGACTTTATAATCGTCAAATAGCCCTGGTGTGAGCCACCGACCAGTATCCTTCATAGATGAGAGGTCATCCAGATGAGGAAACTTCCAAGTGAAGATCGTGTCATAGTACAGCGATGATGACCTTCTAATGGGTCGCAGGCAAGCTTCAGCTGAGCAGTATGGATACTCACTCCACTTCTTATATTGAGACAGCTCGAGACCCCTTTGACGAAGTTGGATTTTGTTTTGAAATTCAGTTACTTTGTTGAAAAACCCGTTGATCTTATGAGTGGCTTCCTCAACTTCACCAATGTATTTGGACATGTACGGTTTTATGACATCACTAAGCTCTCCGGTGTCTGTGAGTAGTTTCACAACTGGACTCGAAAATCCATTAGTGATTGCAGTCATTTTCGTTGCGTAGTCCGATGATTCCTTGATGAGATTGCCAAGACTTTGAAGGATAGCGTTGGCATCTTTGGTCTTCGCCCAAAGTTCATATGACGTATTGACTTTCTTACTGACATCTTCTGCCATTTCAATGTGATCTAAGATCGGATTGTCGTAAACGGACTTCATTGATTTAAACGTATTTTTCAATGTTTCTCCAAGCTTCTGCCTCGTCTCCTTTGCTTTTTGAACGTAATCCATGACGCGTGTGATTTTAACGTTCTCATCTTTAATACTTCTTTTTGATCTATTATACGGATTTCCACTAGGTTGAGCAAACGTTTGCCCAGTTATATTCATCAGCATATACTTTATATTTTCCACGTCATTTTTCAACTTAAAATCGTTTTTTTGCTGAATTAACAACTTGACAGTACTTATGACTTGAGTGATTTTATCCAAACCAGATCGACAGGTACCAAGCATATCAGTATACCCCTTAGCCTCTTCATAACTTTTTTTAATCTTTTCGACTTTTCCTTGGATAACTTTGGCTTGGTCAATAAATGTCCTTGGAATACAAGCACTTCCTTTTATACATTTTTGGATCTTAAGACTTCTCCACGTGTCAGGGATCATGCCGTGTAATATTTCCACTTCTTTGCGCATGTCTTTGTATTTACCAATGGTATTCTTTCCAACAACCATCGCTTTCTGAACACAAGGATTTGTACTTTCAATTAGAATTTGGACAGCTTGCTGACAATCCGGGAGTTTATGAACAGTGGCCAAAATCGGTGAAAAGTTATTGCTGAATGGCTTTAGATTTATCATTACATCGATGACGTTATTCACCATGACAGATATTTCCTTCAAGTCCGTTCTGATTTCTTCGATTGGTTGCTTTATTCGGTGAAGCTTAGATCCTGCTGTTGTGATAACTTTTTCAGCCTCCTCGGTGAAAAACTCGTTTACTTCATCAGCGATATCGTGAGCACCGATTTTATTCAGCGTTTCATCTGCCATTTTCTTGACCTTGACACAATATTCAAGAACTTTTTGATCATAGCTCACACGAAACTCTTTTCTTATATCGAGTTTCTCGATATCGTCCTTGAACTTTTGTGCACTTCCAGAAAATTTAATTATATCGTCTGTACTTTCACTAGCCTTCTGAGCATAAGCAGGGATGTTCTTCATGTGTGTTAGAATATTATTAACTTTAACAGCGATCTCATGGACTTTCCCAAAAAATCCTTTTTGTGTGTTTAAAATGGACCTGAAATCGGCAACAAGACGAGCGATTTTTGATATTTTTCCAAATTGAACATCCATATTCTCTTTGTACCACGCTTCTATATTGTTGACCGCTAGTTTAAGATCTTGTCCAATGCCTTTTATTTTTTGAGAAACAGGACCGATGAAACTTGTTAGCTCTAACAACGCTTGTCTTGAGACAATTTGGACATCATCAATTATTTTTGTTGAGAGGTCTTCTCCTTTGTTGCAAACTCCATTAGATTTAACTGATGTTCCATTTGCAAATTGTACAACTTTATCTGAAAGTGACTGGATTACCCGTAGGCTTTTCGATAGCTCCTTCAAGGACTTCGACACAAAACCACGATTTGCTAAAGTGAAGTTTTTCTCAATATCATTAATTAGTCTATCAATCATCACAGTGTATTGTACGAGTTCTTTAAGGGCACTTTGGGTTGTATTGTCTACCGTCTTTAGTATTGCTATTCCTTGTTTTTTGATGTTTTCTCCAAACGTCTTTAAGTCGCGAGACGAATTTAAAGCAATTTTGTAGACGCTACAAATTTTCTTGGCACTGTTTTTCGCAAATTCCTTCATTTCTGGGCCGAGCTCTTTAAAGAAGTCTGTTATATCGCTAATGGCAGTTATATTCGGCACAGCTGAATCAAGCAATTTAAGAACTTTGTAAAAAAAGTCTTGTAAAACATAAGCTGGACCAACAGCAGTTGAGCTACCGTTTTTACCAAACAGTTCCGGGAAGAGTTTAGACAGATCCGATGTATTATTTGTCATGATATCTACATAAAAAAACTGCTTCAGATTGAATGACGACAGCTTAAATCTTTTGAAGAAGTCACTAAGTTTGCCAAGGACATTAAAAAACTTCAGGAAATTTGGGTTTTTCAGGTCAAGGTCAAACCTCAGGTTGATTTTCCAATCGAAGCTTAGTCCAAAGTTGAACCATTTTACCTGCTGAATTGGAAACTTTGCTTCGAGTCTTGGTAGATTCAAACGTGGAAGTCTGGTATTTTCAAGTGAATCCAGAAGTGAAGACAAGTCTAGAAAGTTCTTAGAAAACTTAATAATTTTCATACAGATATCAATGAACTTATCCATCGAAATTGAAAAGTGCATTGAAAATCTGAAAGGCATCTGTAGATGAAATCCTTTGGGAACAAACTTCAGTCCAAGGGACTTGAAAAATTCTTTAATTTTGATGTCGTGAAGGTCAATTGATACAGACTTCAGCCATTTCAACAAATCCTCGATTTTAAAGTTTGGCGGTAAGCCATGTGGTAGACGGAGTTTGATGCTGTTGATGATGCTCATTATTTTGTTTAGTGCTCCCATTACTTTTTTAAACACATTATCGACGACCGTCAATTTGTTGAGAGTTATTTGAATACTTCTGACGTTCTTCACGAACCACTCCCATTTCTTCAATGGTTCATCGATCTTTTTAGCCAGACTGAGTATCTTCTTCATGACATTAATCGGCTTTAAAGTTTTGTAGAGGTTTTCGACAAACTTCGCTATCTTGTCTACAAAATCGATCAACTTCTGTATATTCAGTGGGACGAGGCTCTTGAGCTTTTCTTTGAACTTTTCTATGTGCTCTAAGATGATGTTAGTAATGCCATCTACTTTAGAAAAAATATAGTCACCTGCGTCGGCAACTGTGTGGATGAGATCTTTAGGAATGTCATTCTTGAAACTTGCCGAAGCTTTGAAGGCTGCTTTACCATTGACAATGTCAAAGTCCCATTTCAAGATATGGGCATTTATCCTCGCGTAATTGGTTAAGTCCACCTTGAAATTCCCGCCAAATATTCCTATTCTCAGGTTAACTTGGTTGCGGAATAGAATGGCGCATTCGGCCCCTAGAAATTTACCACCAAAAGTTTTTAGCCACCTTCTATTAGGTCCAAGTTCAATCTCTCGTGGCCTAAGCTGGGCTGGGATCAAAGCACGCTTTTGCCGTCTTAGAATATGTCTTCTTTTTCTAACGTGCTTCGCTTTGGGGTGGTTGTGATGATTTTCCAGAAATGTCTGTACCATCTCATCAAGTACATCGTTTTCCTCAGCATGCCAAAAAGCATGTTCAAGAGCTTCAACTATTTCATTACTCAAATCCTGATGGCGCTCAATATAAACTTCCATCACAGCAGCTTTAACGTCATTTCGCTCATCCTTGAGAAGGGTATTCAACAGAAACTTGTCCACGTGTTCTGCTGGTAATTTACGCATGCCTGAAACAACAGCTGACCTGATTCCTGAACTATCGTGGTTTGCATGTTGAAGCATAGTGCTGAGTCCAGACAGATGTCCAAGATTACCAAAGGCCCATATATGGTTTCTCAAGAATGTTTCGTGCTCTTCGCTTTCGGGATGGTAGACATTTGATTTGTTATTATAACTGCGATGAATCACTTGAACAACAATATCCGATAGCGAGTTATTATATCCAGCAGCCTCTGCCCGTTTTACTAAGCCTGAAAGAACCAACATTGCCATTGGCGACTGGTGTCCATGGTTGCTGTCTCTTTTTGCATGCTGAAGAAGAGCATCAAATAGTTTTCTGTGAAGAGGTCCTTTAGGTATGTAGAAAATGCCTTCTAAAAGAGCCTCGTATTCGTCTAGTGTCAACTTTCGTGGGTATTCAGACATTAGGGCTCGGGCAAGTACATCTTGTGAATGTTGACTGCCATGACCTGCTAATATACTCACCAGCACAGACCAGGAGGTCACGTTCTGGTGGATTCTCCCCAAAACCAGATGGCAAATATGTTTAAACAAACTGCTATCGTATTTGGCTAGTTTATGAATCTCCATCACACAATCTCCTATGTCACTTTCTTTAACAGTTTGATCAGTGAAGCACCTCATCAAGTTATAGAAAGGTCTGAAGGTCATCTTTTCACCACCGACGTGTTTCCAATCGATTTTATGAGCGTCTTTAAACACCAGTTCATCACGGTAAAGACCTTGAATTTCTTGCTCGTGGGCGGCGTCTTTCATCACTGTTTCTCTTCTAGATCGATGATGATGATGAGAGTTTGGATAATCTTCACATCTTATTAGATTCAACTTACTATATCCACTGGTGAGTACTTGAATATCTTGTTCACTCTCTTGGAACTTAGGGTAATTTTCTGCTCTTGGATTACCCTTTGGATTCTCGAAAATGCCATTGTGCTCACGGTGGACTTTGAATATTTGGCCATGTCCAATATGTACTGTAGCAGTATGCTGTGATTGAACTTTGTGTTCTCCTTTCGCTGGTGTACCATCGGCAAACAGTACGTAGTCTTTGTTGGTCCATTCTCTCCTGATTGTAGCATGGGTATCATTGGAGTGTAGAGTTGTGTACTTTGACAAGTAAACGCCTGAATCGTCGTGCTCTTGAAATTGTCTACGACTTTTGTCTTCAAGGGATTTCAATTGTACTTGAAATGCTCCAGCTATACCTAAAGTTTTGTTATTATTTTTGTTATAACGTAATTGTAATTACTGTCAACTCTCCTTAAGATATTTTACATACTTTCTACGCTAGACATAATCCGTGGAACAAGCGCATGCACTGGAACTGATTTATATAGTTTATTTAAAGTTTTCGGATCGAATCTTTATACCTGATAAAACACGATCTCGAGTGCTTTTTAAAACGGCTTCAAAAACTCCAACACTAATTTGAAACTCAAATCCGTTACAATTCTTGGAGTAATTGCCGTACAAATATGTTCAGAGATRAATAGGGCAAACTGATCATGCGCGAGTCACTTTACAAAGCACTCTTGTCATCCCACATTGAATACGCATAAAGTAAAATAAAATCGCTCTTGGCTGTTGACTGTAATCGGTTGACATCCTGCATTGGTCAATGATCAGGTTTCAAACCCGAGACCTTTGCTAGGGTCATGGACCTTATCTAATAAAGGTCAGCCTTATTAGTATTCTTTATTTAAAGAATACTAATAATGAGTGTTTTATCAGATATAAAGGTCCATGTATGTGACCAAGTAGGCTCATTCTATTGGCCTAATAACTCATTAATTATGTATGAGTTTTTGAATAGTTTTGAGAGATTTTGGAAGATTTTGAATGATTATGGGCACCAGGTTCATGGTTCCAAACTTGGAGTGATGGCTAGTTTACGTGGGCAAACATTGAGTGAGAATTTCATGGTCATAGATCTATTGTTTCCGAAGATAAAGGGGTACGACGAGTCCCCATGCAGTCACATATTACAAAAAAAGCCCAGTCTGATTAGTATTAACTTGGATGCAGCCCTCTCTTTCAAGTCATAAGATTGGGCTATGCCCCCTCCTTCTCGATGCTCAACCCCCTCCTGATAATTGATTCGACTGCAGTTTCTTAAACATTTCCTTGTATGTCTTCAAATGCTAACGTAACAAATCTTACCTTTCTTGAGAGCAATGACTTTAGGAWCATCATATTTTGGRAAGAAAGCATCAAGRACTGAACCATGCCCGTATTGCCGGAAGTAGAATGGMTTGGACAGYTGTCGTTCAAGCTCCTCGTTCACAGGATGAYTRACAAGTACAYGGTCCCCCYGGACTCTTCTCATTCGAGGCTGATAGACATGGAGACGAAGGGTGTGAAGTGSRTTCTGATYGGTTTCYTGTGCRACTGGCGTCACGTCRACCTTGGAAAAATTGAAGGACATTGTTAACTACAGTACAGATACGATAAACCTGAAGAAGGCCTATACTTATATCAACTCTATTTTTTAAAAAAGATGAAAAAATAGAGCAAAATTCTGGGGAAATTAGATTATGCCAACGAACAAGTAAGCTAATTTTATTTCAGTGGACAAAATCAAAAGAAAATCCATGCAGAGTCCATAACTCTTTGAACAGCTGCACATATGCATTTCTTTTATTATATATGCCTATTAATTTATTCAACACTCTTCGGGATATGTTCATTTGGCAGTAAATCAAGAATTTTATTCTATAAACCTATTGTCTTTTCTAGTACGCATGTTTGGATATGCTATCGAGTAGATCTCTCTCGGCCATGCTATGATGTGAGGAATCGTTCGAATCTGGATCAAAAGCCATACCCGCCCCCCTTCAAACAAACATATTTTTTTTATCTTTTTACACAACTGCATATTTTTGAGACTGTATCTCGTCAGGTCAAAACCTTCAATTAGTCTAAAAGCCTATTATCGTTTCCCAGCTTCTAGCAGATCTGATTATTAAGTTCCTTCTAGAATTTCTTTGGAGCAAAGGTCCGTTATTGACTGAACCGAGATTCCAGAAACGTCGAGCTGGAATTCGAGCTCGAGTTGACATATTCATCGAGTTCGACGTCGAGTTGGACTTCGAGTTAACTTTCATAGATAGCCAGTAGGATGACTTTGCAGATATGTTTTAGAATATGCTACAAGGCGGTCCATTTGTATCTCTAGGGGAAAATAGATGCTATGCTAGGGCAGGCAAATTGTTTCATCGGTTCGATCATGATATTAATAGACCTAATCGGCTTCAACCCAATTCAAACCACCCGGGAGTAAGTTTCATTGTTCGTTGTATTTTCATTTCACAGTTGAATTCTTAGAAACAAGTTTTTTTCCCACAGGATTTGAATTGGGTGGTAACGTACATAGCAACTCCGTTAGCCGATTAGGTCTATAATAATTCTTTATTCCATAAATACCAGAAATTGTACATTAGAACATAAAATTTAACTTTAACAAAAAGATAAACTAGCTGTCTAAATTATTGTACAGATTTAGAACATTAAAACAGTACTTCGCATTAGAGTTATCTTTCATTGACAATATATAAGCAGTGATAACCTGTGAAGGTTTCGAAAGAGTTATTTATGTTGTACAGTCTTTCCAAGAAAGCTTTTCTTAGAATAGCCATAATATTCGTTTCTTGATATTTGTTGGATTTGGATTTTAAAGGAGTTTCTGAACTTCATTTTAGAGGATGTCAAATCTTGTGTTTTCTGTGCGAAGGAGGGATAACAGTTATTTTACATCCTCTAAAATGAAGCCATTTCGTTGTTATAAAAAAACAAACCCACACACAAAAAATAGTCCGAAAGAGGTCCCGGTAGTTTCAAGATTCAAATTTAATATATTAAGAAAGATTTAAAAAAGAATGCAGGTCCGAGCAGTACATTTTTTAATCATTAGCTGCATAATTCTTACAAACCAGACACGCTGGCTAAGTGCTGTCTCATTAACGAAGACTCAGATAAAGATGCGACATTCGTTTGAGATTATAATTACGTTTCCTTGATTTATAAGCTTTCTTTACTTATTTTGCGAATATATATAAACCATGAGTAAAAGAAACTATGCTGATGTCGTTTACGCGAGAGGTAAGACAGAAAAAGACCTTTTCGAATTTTGTCGTTTGTATCTTTCTTAGCTTTCAACATTACAAGCACGTGCATTTTGTCTCTCTGCAGAGTCGCTCACAAGAAACGGAGATGTGGCTTGCTCTAACATTGTATCTGGAAAGAAATATGTGTAATTGAACAACGCTCAAAGCACGCATTACATTTTTTGCCTTACTGCTTATGTAGCATTGGTATTTAACTCAACTCAGCTTTGCAAGCGAAGTCGATCAAACATGTATGTTAATTAGAATGTTATGTTATGGGTCATGTGTTAATTTTTCTGGCGTGCTGCATAATACTTCAGTTTCGTAATCTTATTTGTGCAGTCTTAACCTCGAAACCTGTAACATATTCTTTCATTCAACAGAGAATCTATTTTAATGCAAACACGCTGTGTACAAAAGAGACAATAAAAATTTATGCTTGATTGATGGCTAAGAGCAGTTACGGCACATAAGAGAATTCAAAACTGGAGTGTATTACAATACATGTCAATCAAGTCGAAAGATAGTCTTCTCGCGAGACATTTGCCCACAGTTTTTAAAAGCAATTCGAGAGTCTTTCCTTTCAAAGTTCTGTAATATTTTCAGTTACAGTTTTTGTCATTTTGTAATATTTTTTCTTTATGATTTGTAACATGAACTCGAGGTTCAGCTCAATTATTTCTCTCTTCTGACTGACCAAAAGTATCATTACAATCTTTAATAGTTGTTATTACATGAATATGGGCACTTTCCAATGTATTGGAAAATTCTTAAGGAAATATGAATTCGATTTTCTGAGGGGTGAGAAACGGATGTACACAGGCTATGTAGTATCTTTCGGATGGCCATTGAAGAATTCTTTTAATTGTTTTAACAACCTCTCTGTAAGATAATGCAACGTTGTATAAATTCCGAATATCAGTCGAATTAAAAGATTCAAGGTCATTTATGAAAGTGAAACAACTTGGCATCTTTTTTGTTGACTCTCCTGATAAAGCCTTTCTGATTCACTTATGCTATAAATAGACCTTCTTGCGATCCAGCAGTTTGGTAAACAACTTCCAGACAATAGACACATAGCTTACGTGCTTTAGTCTGGTTTCCTGTGAGTCTTATTTGTAAAATAAAACAAACAGCGAAAATAAATTAAATACAAGAGATCAATGTAAAACATCTTCAAACATTCAAAACTCTGCTTTAATTATTTACAGAAAATCATACAAAACCCCGGGGTACAAAACTCAGGAGTCTTCTCCTAGATGCCACAGAATGAGACTATCATTTCTTTGAGTGCCCGTAGGGAAGTGAATTTCTGCCAACTGTTGATTGAATTGGTCTTCTGTTTCTTCAATATTTGCACAGCATGAGACTTTAATTAACAAATAAATAAGGCTCAGCCGTGGTTTATACGTACTCTGATAAACGCACGCTTGGTATTTGAAACACACGAGAAAATGTCAAGAAGCACGAGCTGAAAGCGAGTGCTTCTGGACCGTTTTTGAGTGTGTTTCAAATGCCAAGCGTGCGTTTATCAGAGTACGTATAAACCACAGGCTGAGGCTTATTTACTTGTTTTATTATATAGATTTTGAGCAAAAATCTTTTTTGAGCACAATCGTGGTTTATGTAAGAGTTACATACCTCGAACGTCGGCAATCAGCCTATACATCCCTCGGGCTGGCTTATTTCATACTTGAAGAAGTTTTCCAAGCACTGCATTAATATTTTCATTTTTAAATAGTCTTAAATAGGCAAAGAAGCCGTTTTCATATGAATTAAAAACCAAAACCTCGATTAGAAAGGTTACGAAATTTACAGTATTGACAATTCCCAACGGGAATAATTTGCATAACCAATTTTCTCGTTAGTCCCATGAGAACAATGCTAACAATATACCTTTTGTAACAAGTAACTGGACAATGTTAAATAACTGTTTTATTCCATAACTGACATCGATTAGTTAGTTAGCATAATGCGTTAAGTATAGGATTTTCAAAGCTAAGGTTGTGGGTTCGAATCTACTTGGTATCACTTGAATTTTTCTTTCTTTCTTTCAAGTTTCAGACGAAAAATTTCTAAGTTGAACGTAGATAAATTAGGTATTCAAGGGCAATATACATTAGTATTCAAGGGCAATATACATTAGTATTCAAGGGCAATATATAGATATTGCCCTCAAATGGGGGCAATATATAGATATTGCCCTAAAACTTCGATATAAAGCACTTGAATGCACAATGAGCTGTGAAATAAGCGAGATACAACACTATGAATAACAAAGAAAACTGAATCAAGTATGAAATAAACTCTCATAAACCACACTTTTTTGGTCAATCAGAGCGCGCTTTAGAATTCATCTATATAATAAATCATTTTAATGCCCCACGAAGGGCAGCCGAATTCTTTGAATTGTTAATAATTACAACGGTTTTGGTAGCCATCTTTTCCGGTAGGCAAAGTGTCGCAACATGGATAGACCGGGAAATCGATGTCAAATAATTCCCGCTGAATTCAAAGTCAGCATATGGAACTTATGGGGGACAAATAGTCCGTGATCACTCAAGCTTGACCTGACAGTCCGTATGAAGTGCCAAATTTGACGAAAAAAGGCCAGATTTCAAGGCTTTTTGAAGAAATGCGGCGACATTAAAAACAATCCTAAAAACCTAGCACCGGATTTAAGAAATAAAATTTATATGCGACCTTTCTGGGTATTTTTCATGAGAAAATTCGAAAATCCAATCACGTATTTTTGCCCTTGAAGAGTTGAAGTTGAGCATTAAAATAGTATGGCGATCCATGTTTTCACCACAGTTCGCTACAAATAACTGGGCCTCGCGCATAACTTATTTTGTTAATAAAAAACCTAGCACCGGATTTAAGAAATAAAATGTATGTGTGACATTGCTATGT